CGATATTCGTGCTTGCAACCTCAACTAATATCATTTAAAGGATTTGTCGGTTGATGTTGACGGACAGCGCGTGCCGACTACCGCAAATCTCTTGCACTCGAGTGACAACAGACTCGCTAGCCCCAGGGCGTTGGAAGTATCCACGGGCGGCGGTTATTACTTTCTTCAAATAGATATAAAACTATTTTCATTTATACAATAACACCTAAAAGTATTTCGGAGTCAACCTAGACAAAACATCCGGATTAGGTCAAGATTACAATAAAAAAGTATGTGCTATCAAAATATAAAATGTATCTCTCTTCGCGGACTCCCATGTCCCTAGAGAGTATAGGAAGTAATAGTTATTGTACCGAATTAAACACAATTATTACCTTATTTGATGAAACACTTAACGTTAGCATTTTAATGTTATCTTTTATCAAACGTTATTGAAGACAAATTCAATTATAATTCATAAAAACTAAATATTCTCTCAATTATCTTTGAACGGTAACGGAAATGAAAAATCGAAAATTCACCCCAAACTTCCTTTACTTAAATTAGGCCTTTTATGAGAGGAAATTATCTGTAGTCACGCGTGCAAACCCTGAAGCCGGTTCTAAATGAACAAAGACCACGTTTGGTATCGCAATAAATTGATGGTGTGGTTTTGAGCAAATAGTTCGTAACATGAAACAATGTAAAGCAATTTAGTAGGGAAAATCCTGTTATCGGGGCGTGTGTAGAAAATGAAAAGTAAACAATTCGCAAACAGTTTTTCACGTGTTTGATTATGATAACAAACTTGCGACTGGAATACTTTTAATCCATACTAAAACGGGAACGATTTACGTTTTTGTATAATTGTGTTACAAACTTAAAAACTTAGACTACTTTTGAATTTTAATAATAATAAGCATTTGTTCACACAGAGGCTTATTTCAAATACATATCCTCCCATAAAAGTCCGGGAACTGTTTATCATAAATATCATCACCGCAGGTTACCCACTTTCCGCATTCTCTGATGATCATTACATTTTTATGACGGTTTAACTTTCGTATAATATATTTGGTCTTAAATGTATGCACTAATCTCAGTATTACGTTTTATATTTATCAAAACAAAGGCCGTAAAACTACCCCTATAAACCACGTCCTGCAATAATAAACGTTACAAGATACAATAATTTTTATTTCGGCTCTAAGACCTTCTTTGAAAATTATTACATGAAAATAAAAAGGTATATTTTAAGACAACATATTTTAGTTGACTTGCGTGTTTATTTATTTTAACAATTATCGTCTTTCTGTTAAATTATATTATGATGAACGATCCAATATTATGTTAGCAACTAATTGCTGGACTATTCCTAGCCTATGTTTTAATTTTATACGTAACCAGTTTCGTAGTTTCAGAGTTATAGGTAGCCTAGCATAAAAAAAATCACTGTGCAAAATATCAGACACGTGATATAGCCACGCTGCTGGAATGCTCGCAAAAAAAATCGTACAGTAAACACGCAGTACCAAAAAACACATAGAACGGGTAGTAATTTGATGTCTTGTTTATAAAGGATTTGTTTAGTAATCCGAGTTCCGACCCGAGTCTCCTATGAGACGTCGTTGTGCTTGTCGTGGGAAAAAAGCCCATATCCGGCAGAGTCACGCTCACCAAAACATCCGGAACTGAGCTGCAGGTCCTTCAGGTCAAGATTACAATAAAAAAAGTATGAGCTATCAAAATATATAATTTATCTCTTTTCGCGGACTCCCATGTCCCTAGAGAGTATAGGAAGTAATAGTTATTCTACCGAATTACGAAATGAATACTTTATTTGATGAAACACTTAAAGCAAGCAGTAAGCAAGCAGCAATATCAGAAATCTTATGCATTTTTCAATACGAAAATCCGTTGATTACAGCAATTTAAATCGTAGTTGTTGTGAATTGTACCTATCAATGGAGTGTCAAAGACAGGTGTTGAGTTATTTATGGAATTCTTGTTCACTCGATTCTGGGTTAACCGTTTTTATTTACGATTGTTGAACGTACAAATGTTGCATTAATATAAGTTCTGTTATTACCAACCCGGTCCATCTACTAAATAAACGAATAATTAACGCCTATTATTATTTGACCAAATTAATCGTAGTTTAATAAATAATACTGCATCCTGGATCTTTTGACAATCGTTTCCCTTCTCGCTGCTGTTGGGGTCTCGAATCGAGCTGGTTTTCAATCTATTTGAATAGTTTTATCGTGAATAATAAAGCTCAAAACATTGATGATGTTTCTAAGACCAGGAAGCTTAGCCAAGATGCCTTAACAGTAATAGGGCCGTTCAAGTAAGTAAGTATTACGTAAGCACTATAGGGGGGATAGGGGGGTTCTTTCATTTTCTTATTTGGTGATTACGTCAACAGTAATTATTTATGTACTTTTGAGAGCTTTACTTACTTTTGCTGACAAGAGGGGGTAAATTGCAGTAAATCTGCTTACGTCATACTTGAACGGCCCCAATGTAAAAAGTCGAAAACGAAATTTGTATGAAAATGACAGTTCGTGTCGACATTTTCATACAAATCTAGTTTTCGACTTTATACATACATTACTGTTAAGGCATCTTGACTAAGCCCCCAGATGTAGCAACGCCTAAAGCTGCAGCGATAATTATTTTGATCACCTCATAACCTGAATCGCGCTGTTTCTGACCGCTGTATAATGTAACACTAGCCACTGGGGTTTTCGAGCCGCCCAGTGCTTACACTACTCGAGGATCTTCCACACATGCATGAGACCAATGCATTAAACACTAACTAACACAACGTGCAAGCTACAAAGTTACAAGAAATCAAAGTGACTTATATACAGTGTTTTGATTACATTGCTACTTTTCTTGAAAATACTATTACTAGTTTTAAGGTATAGCAATGTTTGTATATAACTATCACTAATCGTAACTTATTTGCAGATTAATATTTTGAAGTAATATAAATAAAAATTCACCGTACCAATATGGGTTAGGAATTTTTACTAAAATAAACAAAAATCTCAAATAAAAAATCAGTTCATTAATCATATACATGTTATCAAAGTGATGAATGTTTACCAATCGTTTTAATTGAAATAAATGTTAGGTTAAAGCGTGAAAAACAATTTCAAATCATTTGACGTACGTGTAAAACACTTCAACCGATATTCTGTTTTTTTAAATAACGATCTCTAGATCTATGGTTTTTATTCCAAAAAACTGAGAGACTTAGAGCTTCTTGCCAATTTTCCTTTTCTCTACGCCCTTGATCTAGGAACTGGTATTATTACCAAATAAGAATCTACCCCTTTAATATTAGAGGGCTCACTAGATATTAACGCCCCCTGCGGACAATCTCAGAGTGCTCGCAAGTATTGGCCTTTTAAGATAGGTAGGCTTTAAATAAAATTGTTTTGAGTAAATATATACTCTTCATATTCAAAGTATATATATTCATATTATAAATCCTTCATTTATATGTACGCTAAAGATCATGGTATCTTTAAAAAAATATTGTAAACAAACCATGGTCAACTTAGAGTAATTTATATTTTACAATCGTCATAGATACGTAGAAAAATATAAACTTTTAAATCACGTTGTGTTAATTAAATTATTGGATTAACCTTAACAAGTAGTTTAAAATTAGATGAACGTTTCAATAAGTCGTTAAAAGTTAAAAATCTCTCCTGAAGCGAAACGACAACTTTTCTAACTAAATTCAGTTTTATTCTAATTAACACAAACAAATGGGATTCTTCATTTCAAATATTACATAATATTTCAGTAACATACGATAATTACTTTCTAACTAGAGAAATTCACTCATTCGTCATTCTTTGAAACAAAATTAATACATAGGCATTCTTTGTTTTCGATGCTCGTTTATTTTTATTGTAGTATTTCTTTTCTCTTTTATCGTTGTAAATGAGTGGCGGCGAATTTATTGCCAGTTCTTCTCTTCCGTTCTGCGACCTTGATTTGAACTGGCACTTAATGTAAAATTAGAAGCATTTCATATATATTTCTTTTTTGACGTTCATTGTGTTGTCTATATGAATAAATGATTTTGAATTTTGAATATTTCCCTTTAAATGTTGTGCACCCTTATCATTGATGCACATGCAAGTATTGCATTAATGTATGTCGTGTGTTCTCTTTAAGTGTCTGTATGTTAGTGTGCCTTTTAAAAAAAAATAGAGTGCGGGTACTTATGTACGCGCGTAAGAAGTTATACTTCTTTGGCTTTCTTTATTTTTTTTTAATATTAAATAATTAATAATAAATATTTAACGTTAATAATTTAATAATATTTAATATTTTGTATATTATTCAATTATTAATTAATAATAATAATTATTATTATTTTATTATATTATTCATTCAATTTAATAACTATGTTTCATAACCTTTTAACTAAGTAACAATAGGTCTTTGTGAAAAAGCATTGCTAAATTTCTTTACTAAAAAATAATTAAAACTCTTTTATTTGTTTAAAAGGTACTACAAAGGTCATTATGGTCATTCTGATAATTTTGTGTCACGGTGCGCGCGCATCGTAAAATTTCACTCTCAGCTATTTTTCATAACGCGCCTAAAGAAGTATAACTTCAAAAATAAACATTAATAAATAAAGGAAAATATGGTTGTAATAAAATTATTCTGACTAGCCCACACACCCGTGTTGTGTCAAGACGACAGCTCTTTCGAGGTACGTGTAAATACTGTTTACGCAAAGGAAAACATAATGAGAAAAGCAGAAATTACCCAAAAGTTACTATTGTGTGTCAGATTATACTGAGTTAGTTAAAATAAGAATATATTTTTATTATTTACATTACGTATTCTAATGTCATTCCTTCTATGCTGCGTAGACGACGTAATACGTAAACTTTAGGCTTAACTATTTCATTTTTAGTTGTTGTATATTCTATATTATTATATTTATTACGTTTTCTCTCATCACGACTCTGAGAATATTTACGTTAACGTCCTTTTTTTGGTCTACCAGTTTTTACAGTATCATCATCATTTATTACGGGTACTGGTTCTATTAGTATATCAGTAGTTGATGTAACTTCGATATCGTTATGCTGTTCTTCTAATGACATTAAATTATTAGTACATGCTTCATTATTATCCATAGATGAACAAGAAGTAGTTGACTCGCTTATGTTAACACCTCGTTCATGACATTTGTTAAAATTTGGATCCCTAACACTATCATCGCTATTGAAATCACATACGATATCCTCATGATGTGAAATATCCCTATTGTCTAATAATATGTTCTGATGTTCACTTAGTGTGTTAAACAGTTCTTGAGTTTCTGGGGACATCGGTCGAAGTGGTGATGAAGATGGCGTTTCGGTTGAACATCCACAAACAGACACAATATTATCTATATCTGACTGTAAAACACCTGAATTAGATGGACCTGAAACAACACCTGGCCTGTAATTAATCATCATCTTACTTTTCCTGGATCAAATTAGTTAAACTCGAATCAGTAAAGATACGTGTGTACATAAATATATATCTTATAGCTACTTGTAATCATATATTATAATGTAGATTTGAATCCAAATTGCGATACACCTACCTTCTGATAAACTGATGTTCTTGTTAGTGGTCTTCATAGCAATAAGTGGAGTAAGGGGCGAAAAAGGCGGTGGAGAAATGGATCGTTGCTCATTTGTGTATGGAGTAACGGGATTACCTACAAACATAAAAAAAACAATCATTATCAGAATCTGTTTAGCTGTTTCTTTGTTATTGAACAACAACCATCTAAACATTTACATTATTTTTCGTAGATTTAGCTGTCTTAAAGTATTTTTAATATATATATAATACTTACTGTGATGATTTGCCACTAGATCTACGGTATTCAATTCTGTTCTGCATTTGTCTATAGATATTATGGTGTTTCGGAGATCCATAAATTTTTTCCGTTTAGCTAATAGGTGTGCTAAGGACTGAACCTATATAACAAGAAATAAAATAAACAAATATTGGACGCATTTCAGATTCACGGTCGGTTAGCTCCAAACTACACATATCTACATATTACATAAATACAAAATATATCATTTCGATACATATTGTACAACCACCTAACAGACCCCAGTAACAATGATAATTAATTAGGTACCATTTGGTTAAAATAGGTATAAAACCTATTTTAACCAATAAAAGGTTGATTAATCACGGCATGCCTTATACGCATTTTTTATATGGAACTGTGCATCTACCATAAATATTTGATCGAAGGTGTAAACAGTCAATAAATACTTGGGTATTATTATGTATCAAGCCTATTGTAATACACGCATAACGGTCAAAATGAATACCAGCTAGTCTTACCTATTCTATTTAGTAATTGTATTGCAATAAAACTTACCCCGCTTTCGTTTTCTTCCATTTTTATAACGATGATAAATCCCCAAAATAGTAACTCAAAGTAATTAACGAAGCACAACACAAAATATTCCTTATTGATATTTTTTAATAATAAAACACGAACGACGAATCATATTTTGTTCAATGCCTGACAATGACCGGCAAATTGTAAAAAACGTACGAAAATTTGAATTTCGCCGGCTACCGTGGAACATCCAATGAAACATTATTTAATTTTAACGAAACAATGTTTTATTTTTCGTATTTTTAAAACGATATTATAACATTGGAACATTAATTTTGCAATTATTTTTCATTCTTAAAAGAGATTCAAAAGCATAGAAACATTATGTTTTAAGAAAAATAAATACTTTATATTTTCTTATAATGTTCCTAAAGTATTGGAACAGTGTTTTCAAGAAAAAGCATTATTTTACAATATTGTGTAAACGTTCCAAAATAATTGGAACATTATTTTCAAGAAAAATGAATATTTTGTAATTTTGATAAAATGTTCCAAACGTATTGAAACATTATTTTTAAGAAAAGAGACCATTTTATAGTTTTGTCAAAACATTCCAAAAGTATTGGAACATTCTTTTCAAGAAAAGAGACCATTTTATAATTTTGTCAAAACATTCCAAAAGTATTGAAACATTGTTTTTCCGGTGAAATAAAATAATATTGTTTATTAAAATGTTTCTTGCGGATTAATACATTTTTTAGGACTTGCATATTGCATTAATCTGACAAAGTGTGGGTTGGAACGTAATGTCAAAATAAAATACCTAAAACTGTCACTTGAGGACTGAAACAGATTAATTAAACAAGTAGTAGATGTAAAAATACGCAGATCTGTATATTTAACTCATTTTAGCATGACATGTGGATTGGAACATTTTTGTATAACTACGTCCGTATGACGTCACAATGAAAATTTTGATAACAATTTCCTGTATAAAAACGTTTAATACGTTATCATAACATTTGCAGTTAAATAAAAATATAAAATCTTTGTAATCCATATAAATAATGTCGAAACGGTATTTGCGTCCACGTTCGAATTTCAAAATATCACTTGTCATTATTGAATTTGAAATTAGAACATCAGCACAGAAAACCAAGAGGTTTGAAACTTCACTGGAAATATTTTCTTACTATTATATTATATCTGTTTAATGCCCATCGGGAAGTTTTACAGATTTTTATTATTAAAAGAAATAAATTTCTTGTTTCTTACATTGTACATTACATACAATATACACTAATTATTACTGTATTAACAACAGCTCCTCGTTAATTACTCGGTTTGAGGTTGAGGAAATAGGTTGAAATATTTCCATAATGCAAAGTAGCAGAAGATTTTAGTAATTATTTTCACGGTGAAATAAATTTAGGCCGCGTTTACAGCTGGAGCATATAAAACATATTTTGGTTAATTTTTATATAAGTTCAAATATTACGTAACGAATTTGGGGGGGCGGGTCCTTTTGTAAAATATTTCGATTCAGGGCGGTAATTGAATTACGCGTTATTGTTAATATTATTTTCGACTTTCCAGTAGGATAATGGTAACTTTTTGGTATAAAGACGTGGTCACAAAACGTTTTACTATACTTGGAAAAAAGAAAAGTATTACGGCGCATTACATGGGGAGGGGTCAATAATCTCCAAAAATTGCGTGACGTTATACTTGAACGCGAATTACATGTAAGGTCAGTATTTTATTTGAACTGATAGTGTTCTTTGGAACAATAGTAAAAAAAAATTGACCTTAGATTTCCGTGTCGATTTCTTTTCTAGGCAAAAAAGGTCATTAACCTTCGGTGTAAGACATTTCTGGCGCTTCAACCCTTGATCTCGGACTCAGATTTCTGTATATAGAGTGAGTTTTAATAGGCAAGCAAATCAGACTTCTCTGCCTGACTCATGTCGATTTTTGGTGTATAACAAGACACTCTCAATATTCAAATCTACAAACTCAAAGATGTCGCACGCTCAAGTCACTAGGCTAACACTGCTGTCAGGTAAGTGTCACTCTAATACAATTAGAGTCCGCGCCACCACTGAATGCCGATAGACGGGACGCTAGCGAGTAGCGCAGCGTAGTAATATGTTGCTAGTGCTAGGTGTAAGGATATTTTACCCCAACGTAACATAAATTAATATGAAATTCGCGAACTACTCTCCAAGATGTGCTTCTAATGTTTTACCTTAAAATGAATAAAATAATATTTCACTGTAACGACAAATTTAGTTTCAGGGTTCCCGTCGGCAATGAGTGGTGGCGCGGACTCTATATACAATATACATATTTAACTTTAAAATTCTTCGTTTTATTTAGTTCGTAAAGCTTTTTCGAGGTATGAAAAATTATATATGAGCCTCAGTTATGGTTAAAATGCAAACAAAGAAATATAGAGTTAATTTGATATTGTTTTAAGATGTCAACTGCACAAAGAGAAATAAATTGGCCGCGTCTTTAGTCGGGTGACACTCGGTTCCCCGGAGGCTGCTTCACGTATAGCACTCTTCTTTATATTTATGTGACATTTAGAACAAAGCAATCTTTCATATGTTTCATTTAGTCTACTAAATTATATAACTGCGCAGACCAATTTCCACTTTTCTTTGGTGAATAGTTCCACGCATAATTCACGTTTCCCCGAAATTTGAATTTAGAATCACCTGGTTAAACTGTTTTACTACCTAACATAGCTAAGCTTATGCAACAAGCTTTATATTTAAGCTATTGTAGATTTTAAAGTGTATTTCTTAAATACAACATTTAAGTGAATGTAGCTTTAAGTACTTTCATTGCCTATGCTTAGGGTATACGTTTTCTTTAGTTCCCAAAAAAGCTTACATTTGAAAGAGTAACAAAATCTGATATATTTCCATCATCGCGACAGTAAAGCATTTTTCAGAGTGCCTGCTCCTTATCCCGGATATTGCACAGGCTTAGATAACAAATGTGACTTTCAGGTCTTGAGAATAATATTCTATCAGAGCACGGAAGCGCTATTCTTTTGTGGTTCTATACATAGTAATATTCTTTAGGCGAAACATCGCTTTTAATCACGTCAATTGTTCACGTGTTTCATTGACAATTTATTATTTACATTTCGACTTTCAGTTTTAATTCATTCTAGACGTAAACGACAATAAATGTCACAGTGTCAAGTCCCTACTTTATATACCTATTGTAATTTTAAAAATGAGATTGATTGTAGCCATTTCCTGTAAAAAAATGTTTAATGGCGCCATCACAAAACTTTTGATTAAATAAAAATATAAAAACTAAACTTTTTAAATCCAGATAAACAATGATGAAACGGTTTGATACATGTTCGAAATTTAAAATTTCAGCTCAATAGCTTAGCGATAATTTAAATTTGAATTTAGAACCCGAACCGAAACGCTCTTTACGGCAACACGTGTTAATGTTACAGAATATAACGAATGTTTCTTAATATTATACTAAAATAAAAAGAAATGAAACACGTTTTCTTTCACTAAACTGTATTTTAGTAACGTAATTGAAACCAAACCATTGTCTCGCTAAACAAATCCGTTTAAAAATAGTAATTGGTTGTTAAAATGTTTGGTTTAATCTCGGCCAATATTCGGTATATTTTTTTGGTCGTCGTTTCAACATTTTAGATGTGTAATAGACTACTACCATAAATACTAATTTGTTGGATTGCAAATAAGTGAAACAACTCCTCTGAACCACTTTAACCTGCACTTATAACTAACAAATGGTGAAGGGTAGTGAGGCTGGGACTCCGATAATATCAAGCAGTTTTTATCTTTGATTTTTTGAGTACTATAAAACATTATATGTAACATTGTTGTAAGACATACAAGCCTTAACCTCTAAAGGGATTTCACTTCACATTTCTGGATTTGTTGCTAACATCATTTTCCTTTCAATACTAGAAAATACTCTCTGTGCTTGACATCCATCGCTTGGGATTCGGATTTCTCCTCACGATTTAAAATACTCGCCAATCGCTGGGATTCAAATGCACGACCTTAAGGTTGACACTAGGTTAACAGTGCTTTCCAATATATATTTTTGAAGTTATACTTATTTTGGCGCGTTAGGGGAAAATGATGAGAGTAAATTTTTACGTTGCGTCCGCACACCGTCACATAAAACCGACACCCTGAAGTTAAATAATAATAAACTTTATTTAACTAGATAATGCGTTATAATAAAATTTTAAATGTATTATATACTTTCTTTCTATTATTAGTGTCATTTTTTCTACAAACGTAGAATAAATTTTTTAAAAAGGTTTTTATCTTGTAACGAAAGTATAAATTCTAACGCGTGTACATAAGTACACACAGGTTTTTTTTTAAATTTTACATGTTAAATGTATTTTTATCTCTTTTATCACTGAACTCTAATAAAGCAATAAATAACAACTTCGAAGTCCACACCTAAGAGGGGATAAATCATAAGAATAAAAAGCTCTCAAATAAATCTCACTTCATACAGCCTCTGGTGAGCTTTGACTTTGACAAACAACCCGTCATTTGATACAATTTTGGGGCTATCTATGAGGCTGTTTTACCGCATCTTCTAAAGTAAGAAAAAGCAACATTGTTTCTACCTAGACATGAGAGTTTTGGATCATTTTGGATGGTGTTAAAATTGGTTGGTAAGTTTCTTTGCAAATTTTAGTTTAATACAAATTAAGTTTTAATTATGAATTGTATCGTACAATGTACATACTTACTATAATACTCGATCATTATAAATAAGTATTTCGGTTTAAATACCATCGTCAGATTAATTTTAAACAAATGTATTTTTTTACAAAGTACGAAGAGCGATTCCAATTTTCGACGACCAGTCACTTTCCGAACGGCTTAATCACTTGGCTATGCGTAGAGATATGGAATCACTCTGCATCTTCAGAGGAGTTGTTCGAACTAATACCTGCAGCTTAGTTTCATCGTCGGACTTCAAGGCAGAATACAAAATACCGTCTGTATCACCTCGACGTC